TATTCAGGGCTGTAACACTAACACGAACAAAGAAAATTAAAATGTTCTGAGTATTTTATATTCAGGGATCCTTGATAATGCAACTTATAGTTGGACCTAAATTTTAAAGTTGAAGAGTATTCAAAATTTGAGTAAGGTTTATCACATTTGAGCTGTAAGTGCGTCACGATTGAGACTTGTCAAAGCATGGGAAGAGATTAAAAATACAATATGTAACGTTGAAAATATGCTTGTCAAGATTTAGGTAAATATGACCGAGCTACGGTAATATGTATAAAGGATTTGCTCATAATGGTGCCCTGAATAACATGTTTCAAAGATATCAAAACTGACGAGGAAAGCATGATACCAAATACTAATTACTGTTCACTCCTATGAATATCTATGTATCATATCCATCGGATAATTTTAAGATATTAATATTTTAGGAATACACATGAGAAGTAGTTTACACAAAAATGACGATTGCCTTCTGTGTATAAAACCTATTTTAAAATTTTATTAACGTTTTTATCGTTATTTCCCACATTTCTTATAATTACAAAATCACTAAAAATAAATGGAATTATAAATGTATATTACCTTTATAGTGTGTATATTACCGTGTATACACGTCGAACCAAATCTATACTGCGGTGCGTTTGACGTGTATACCCGTCGTGTAAAATAAAAAATTACCATTCACTATAAAAACTCGAAATCTCAATAAAATGTAATAAGAATATTATTTGGTGGTATGTTCCCTTTACATTACCAATACGACCGCTACATATTAGATCTAGCGGAAAATTCTGTCCGTTTTAGAATGGTTAGGTTAATTCTAAAAACGGACAGAACTTTCCGGTAGACCTAATATTTCATATGGAAATATTCCATATACTGGAATATGGGGCTCGCGTTTCAAAACTAATTACATACCTAACCCGCGACTTGGACGACCAGCGTTGATTTGCTAAGAAACTGCGTCAGCAGTTAGCAGGGCCAATAATGGCACGCTGCTCTGTGAGGTAAAGTCTTATATATTTTTACACAAGACTTGTTTATGTATAGTATTATGTCTTGACAATTTTCAAGCTTTTAATAAGAATAACATATTCAGAAACGAATTGTTAGTTTTTTTGACGAATAAAAATGTAATCCTTCCTGGTTTTTCGTAAAATGTATAATAAGTACCATTTGCCCTGCGTTCGACGTGTATACACGTCCTTCCTTGTTTTTAATTCCGCACCCTGTGGCGACCTTTTGAAACTAAATTCCACCGTCAACTGGTTAATAATATATGTCCAGGTCAAAGTCATTGGAACTGAGTCCCTTTTTGCTAATGTTACATAATTTTCTTTTGAGATCCAGGAACGACGAAAGAGTGTTTGGGACGAAAGAGACGGCTCTTTTAATTCCGTCTACTGTCCCGAAAATCTTGCCTTTCATGGGTGTTTTGACACATGGAAATAAAAAAAAGTCGGGGGGGAGCTATGACCGGACTGTACGGGGGCTGGGGAATCGTTGGCACCCCTGCTTTAACCAAGTCGTCGGAGACGATAAAGGCGGTATGGGCCGGAGCGTGGTGCAACGTCCAGTTGTCTGCCGATATGGTTCGTGACGATGCCATACACTTGAGTTTTTGGAATATTTAGCATATCAGCTATTAAACGAACATTTAATCGTCGGTCTGAGTTCAACAATTCCCTCACTCGTGACATATTGTCGGCTGTGGTGGTCGCGGATGGCCGTCCGGCACGGTCCGCGTCGTTAACCTCTTCCCGGCCTTTCAAAAAGGCCTTGTGCCACCGAAACACTTGCTGATCTGACAGGGCATCTTTTTTATAAGCTGACTTGATCATAGCAACCGTTTCCGTCGCGGTCTTTCCAAGTTTCACGCAAATAATGATCGCAATTCTTTGTTCTAACGAGCGCTGCATTTTGACTTGTACAGTGACACAAAACAATTCTCACGGATAGGCTCGTCCTCACTCTCCGGATGCTCGGAGCACCTTCAGCAGCGGAGATCTGTTTAGCTGACTTCCCGTACTACCAATTTTAACCGAAAAAATCGCGGTCCGACGTGAAGTCGCGTCACAATAAAATCACTGATATTACTTTCAGGACATACCTTGTACTAGACGCGCTAGTAGTACGGCTTACTGGCATAATGTAAACGGTCCCCTATATCCCTTAAAAACTTGAAATTTAGAAATTTGCGAATTAGATAATATAAATATTTCAAATTTTTAAAGTTAGTAATTAAAAAATTTTAATATTTAGAAGTTTACACGTTTGCAAATTTTTCTATTTCGAGTATCAAAATTTAAGAATCTAAAATGTGGGAATTTAAGAATTTAAGAGTCGAGGGATTTTATAACTTGCAAACTTGAAAACTTGAAAAAACTAAAAATTTGGAAATTTTTGAATTTTAGAATTGAAAAATTTAAGAGTTTAGAAATCTGAGAATTTGGAAGTTTGAATGTTTGTAAATATTTAACAATTTATAAATTTTTAACTCTAGAAGTTTGGGTGGTTGAAAATTTGTGAATCTAAAAATAAAAAAATTTAATAATCTTGAAATTTTTTATGTGAAAAATTCGTAATTTTGGAATTGGACAATTTAGATATATAGGAATTGAAAAATACAGAAATCGGAGAATTAGGAAACTAGAAAATTTGGGAAATTAGGAATTTAAGAATTTTAGAATGTAGAAATTCGAAAATTTGAAAAATTTGAAAATTACAGAATAAAAGATAATAAAATGTTTTTCAACTATAACTATAGCGTTATATAATAAACGGCAAATTGTCCTTGGTTACCTAAATAATCATGTTATACGTATCAATAGAATTATTAGTATCATATTATTTAAATACCATCGACAATGCCCACAGTCTAATGAAATCACTTATCAAAACAGAAAGTATACAAATATATTTAGAAAACTAATGAAAATATGTGTAGATATATAAAATATAATCGGACAGTTATTGATGAAGCGGCCAATTGTATTGACGTTTGAAGGTTTTGGTTTTGGCGCGTATGCTGGTGGCGCCACGAGTCGCATAGAAAGGATCGACGATCTTTCTGTTACCGGTCGCGCTCACTGCGCGTGCTTCCATTGAAGAGTACAGTCGTTATAACAGTACATACGGATCATGCTAGAAAGATGCATAGTATAATCAAAGCAAACTATAAATGCGAACTATGAAGACGTATGTGTGTAATATCTTAATAGCTAGTAAGCTTTCTCATTAAAGGTCGCTCAAGCTATTTAGTTTTATCAAAAGCATGAAAAATGATAAAAATATAAATACGTCCGACTAGGAATTGTGCTTAATTCCTTTACTTATGGACAACCTTCGTAAGCACAAAAATAAATATTTCAAGAAACTATTTAATTTGATAATATTTACTAATATGTATTTTTAGATAATTATAAAGATAATCCTTTCGTTTTTACTGTTACATAATTTTTATTACAAAATAAAATATTGGTATCATATGCTCTTTTACGTAGTTTAGTATAGCAGTTTCTTTTAATTTTTTATTTGAATAGAGTAACAGGCATTAGCACATGTCATAATGAAAGTCACAAGAGTTAAGTTCCTTGTGCAATGTAATTACCAAATAAGCTATAATCAAATGGCAATGTTAATAAATTAGGTTGATTTCATATTGCAGGTGTATATAAAAAAATTTGGTTATTAGATTTAAGAAATATAAAATATTACAATATTCAGATCATAGATGTATTCATAAATGTGAAACTTTTTAAATTTAACATTTTAAAGGGGATAAACATAGTAGAAACGGTGGGTTACTTATGAAAGATAAATATACTTTTTTTATTTTTAGCTTTGACTTTTTCGTTTTTACGTTTACTTACTTTAGTTTTACATGGTTTTACTTATTATTTAATAATTCGAAATTTTATTAAAATAATCTTAAATTCTTACTGCATAAAAAGACAAATAATAAAATACTTTTGACACCGAGATTTCGACGACAAACAGAAACTTTTCATAAATTAAATACGTGTACGTTCTCCAAAAAATAACAAGATACTCAAAATATATTATTAAAGAAAATATATACTTTTTCTTTATGGCACATTTTATGTTTACTATTACAGTATAGTAAACATCTTGTGAAGCGCGTTAATTTGTTATGTTACTTTTCAATATTGCTAAATAGTAACGAAACCAAAATAACATAAAAAAACTTATTCAATCTACTAAAATCTTTTTCCAACCGTTTAGATGCCATACGATACACACAAAGATACAAACAAATAATTTTTTCATAAATGCAAAATAATTATGTAAATTTAAAGGTTAATATATTGAAAAACATACATTCTTATTGAAAGATGAGCAAAATATAAGATCACAGCTACGACTGCGTAATTGTTAATCTTTATACAGGGTGTTACCTGTAACGCTACTCACGACTTTTCTCCCACTTGCAGCCACCTTACGAAAAAAAGTTTAGAATAAAATTTGCAGGGTATGAAGTGCACAATAAATATTAGTAAAGCAAATTTTGAAAACAGTTTTTTGTTCTCTTGGCAAAGTCAAGGTCACCTTGGGTTTCTTAAGTAGGAACATACATTTTTTTTTATTCATAGCTTTAGAGGACATCGAGACGAATTCGAAACATATATTACATTATATTTTTATTAACATATTACTCGATTTACAGACAACATTGTCATTGCTTGTGCAAGTGTACGGGAATGCTGTATGAAGAAAGCTGTTCAAGAAGAAAATCAACTAACGGAAGAACAAGGTCAAAATGGTAATATTACAGTATCCGGTGATGGTTCGTGGCATAAACGAGGTTTTTCGTCGCTGCATGGTATTACTTCGCTGATCGGCTGGTATACGGAAAAAGTGATTGACGTGATGGTGAAATCAAAGTATTGTAAAGCCTGCGAGTTTTGAGAAAAGAAAAGTGACACTGTCGAATACGAAGAATGGGCAGAAAAACACCAGAACGAGTGTCAAGCATATCACAAAGGATCTTCGGGAAAAATGGAGGTTGAAGGAATTATAGAAATGTTCCGTCGATCAGAGTTGTTGTATGGCATCAAATATTCGAACTATATTGGGGATGGCGATAGTAAGACATTCAAAGGACTATTAGATTGCGAAGCATACGATAATTTTACTGTACAGAAGAAGGAGTGCATAGGACACGTGCAGAAGCGCATGGGAACACGGCTTCGAAATTTGAAAAAAAATAACAAAGGTCTGAGTGGGAAAGGCAAACTGACCGGAAAATTAATAGATGAACTCGCTTTATATTATGGTTTAGCGATAAGGAGAAATTCGAATTCAGTAGAAGATATGAAGAAGGAAATATGGGCGACGCTTCACCATAAAATTTCTACCGACAGCAAGCCCCAGCACCAGTTCTGCCCTGTCGGAGAAACATCCCGGTGTAGTTACCAAAAAGCAATAGCTACTAATACACTATCTTGCTACAAACATAAACCGCCAATGCCTGATGTTGTTTTTAAAGCAGTACAACCAATTTATGAAGAGTTGAGCAAGGATGAGGTATTGAATCGCTGTCTTGGAGGCTACACACAAAATAAAAATGAAAGTTTTAATGCAAATGTGTGGGCGATAGCGCCGAAAACACAAGCAATCGGCAAAAAAACGTTGCAAATTGCAGTGGATTTGGCTGTTTGTAATTTTAATGATGGGTACAGAAGATACATACAAATCATGGAAGTGCTGAATCTCAAAATTGGCCGGAATTGTTACCAATTATGCGAGGAGTACGACGCAACGCACGTGAGGAAGGGCGAAAAACATATGTCGAAGTATGCAAAAGAGGCTAGAAAGTCACTATTAGCGGCCAGAAAGGAAGAAGCTGGCGGCTGACGAGTTGGCAGAAGGTCCACTTTATGGAGCAGGCATCGCAGACTAATGGTAAGATGTAATTCTTGCTGTGACACAGCTGTAATGTTTCAAAAACTTTAAACGTGATTTTCTCGAAACTACATTTTTCGAAACGGTGGGACTGATAACTCAAAAAGTTTCTATCCAATTGCCTTAAAATTTTGAATGAATATTCTTAGCAATATCCTTTATCGGCCATCATAGGATTTTTGCAAAGTATTTTGTAGTTTTTTTTAAATCGATAATTAAAGACGATTTTTTTTCGAAAAAAGTGTAATTTTTTTTTAAACCGTTACCATTTCAAAAGAAATCAATATTTTTAAAAACGCCTATGATAGCCGATAACTACAACAGTATAGATGATGATGTTTTTTTGGCATTTGCCTAGGTTGACTAGTTCTGTCGAAATCAGGCCCACCAGTGGAGCCCGTTCTACGAAAAGTGTTCCCCTAATTGGAACAGGAAACCGCCATTTTGTGATGAAAATCAAATTAAAAAAATATTTTTTACAATACAAAAGATGTATAATAAAACCCTTGAATTGGCATTCTAATCAAGATATTCATTTTCCCCCTAAAAATTCACAAACTTAAGGCTGATTTTCGGGTCTCAAGGGTGGGGTCCCCCCTTAAAGAACTGTCGACATGCCCTTTTGTATTTTTACGACACGACGCGGTCAAGGGTCCGTTGCACTCACCGTACGTCGCACAGTGGCGAAAAACGGCGAAAACGTGGACAAAAGGCAAAAAATGAAAATCGCAATTCTTGAAATCCGTTTAATGGAATTAGTTTATAAGGAATCTGTGCATACTGTTTTCACAGTTTTAATGATTTTATTACTACCATTTCGAAGATATGAGCCTCCAAAGTTGAACATTTTTTAAAGTCAATTTTTCCGGGTAAAGTTTAACATAATGCTGTTCATTATTTTTTAAATATTATGTTCATCCATTATTATCGGCTGTTTATATGATACTTTAACATTATAATTATGTAGGTTGCACAACAAAATGTTTATTATTAACACTGATATGGAAAAACATATAAACCATAGTCATATTTAATGTTTGTGTAAGGTAAAAGTTGTGATCTTCACCTCGGTTCACCTACCAAATAGGCTTAAATGAAAGCTGGAAGCTTCCCGAACAAGAATCTATAACAATATCTTGCGGTAATTTGAAAAATTTATTTGCAATTTCTGATAATAAAAAATGAATTTGCTAATGAAAAAAATATTATTATGATAGTTCAAACATTCAAGTTTAAAATGCAAAAAGATTTAATTAATTTCGATAAATAGTTTACGAGATAAAAATTCATACGTACTAGTTAACTAACCGTATTAGTTAACTAACAAATCAAAATTCGATTTTTAACACAAAAAACTAATTTGTAACACTAATGTAATCATTTTATCGAAAAACATTTAAATAATTTATCTCAGAATCGAAGATATTAGTTTTGTCCACGTTTTCGCCGTTTTTCGCCACTGTGCGTCGGGCCGTTTAGGGTAATTAAGCGCGAAGACAAGACATTTGTGATCGAAATGAGAAGAAAGGAGTCTACCGTCTCAATCGACAGGTTAAAACCCGCGTTTATTTTGAATGAGAACATTAGCGAACGTGACCCGCAAGTAGTAGATAACGAAGTGTTTATACAGACTCCAACCGATAGAAACGCCGATAGACGTACGTTACGGTCCGGTAGGAGAGTTCGATTTCCAGATCGTTATCAGACGGGATTTCCCTAAATGTATATGTATATGTATATAGTTTTTTTGTTTATTGTAATATCATGTACTAGTAGTAAGAATTTATGTATCGTTTCATTTTTTATATGGCATAGCGTGTAAATTCTATAATTTTAGTATGTATATTTGCGTGTGTGCGAAGATTTTGCTTGTACGAAGTATGTTGATGATTTCCTGTATACTCTTTTTGAGTGAGCGTTAATCACTGATAGGGGGGTAGTGTAGCGTACCGATGCTTCGTCTCGAATTATGGTGTGCCGATTCATTGTCCGAATATTGGCACATCGAGATACTTTGTATCGGCTTGGGTTTTTTCCGTGACCGTTATTAGCAACGGTCATGCGACGTACTTTTGGGGGATAGGAATTTTCCCAAAGCCGTTACACGGGGCGATTCGCTTTTGTTTATAGGGGTACGCGTCGCAACGAGCGTGAGCCTCGTGGCATTACAAATCGCGACTCTTGATCGAGCACACGCGCAACGAAGATATACGCTAATTAATACATTGTTAATTGTTCTTGTTAAACAATTGACAAAACTTTATTTTTACCTCACCAAAACCTAAAGAGCTATTATTTTAACATCTTCCGTGAATTGAACATACACATTAGGATTTGATTAAATCCCTATTTTCATAATTTCCCTGCGACATATTATACACCTCGAATATAGTGAACTGGTTTAAGAGTTACGACGGAACATCCATGCATATATACATGCACAGACTACTAATGTCATAATTCTTTCTTTTTGTGTCGTTTGCAGTTGCGTAAAAAGACATATTCATCACGAAAAAATTGAAATTCTAATAGAATAATTGACGTATTTATTACTAGCGGGTCTACAGCCCAAGTGCATCACGCGAATTCGAACGTGTATTTAAAATTTGGAGTACCTATTGCAAATATATAGATACAAAAAAAATGAGTGCAGAGATTTTCAAGTTGTTACAAACAATTTAACGTACCTGGAATTATCATAAAGGATATCCAAACCTGATTATTGTTGATTTCATAACAACTAACGCCAAAGTATTTTTTGACAAACTTTGAAAAACTAATTTTTTCACAAACTTTGTGACAACAAAGTATTGTCGTCAATGATAAATTATAGAGCTTTTAATGTAGTTCCAGTCAATTCTACGTGTAAAAAAATTATCGAAAACGATATCAAAAATTTAGTGTGTCTCACGAGTCTACTCTCATAATCTCGAGTCAAAAGACTCAAAATTCAGAACAAACAAATAAACGAACAAATGCAGATCGAGTCCTCCTAGAAGCCTTATTGCATTCGACGCCTGTACATACCACTTTCGCTACCACAAATGACGCGATTTTATGAGGTAATTTAGTAATTTTATTCTCGAAAATCAAAGACATAAATATTTGATATGTTAATAGTAAGTGTAAATAAAATCAGCGGGGTATAAGTTGTTTTATTGTCACTCTAGATTTCTTAAAAAAAATTTGGCTGTATTTCCGAATGACACTCATCGAGTTCAGTACAGAAATTTTATCTGCATATACAACTTTCCATGAGCATTCCATATCTGTTGTCAAACTCGGGGAGTCTCTTATGGTTCGCGAGATATTCATATTTCAAATTCATTCCAATATTAACACGTTGGGCGCTTTTTATGGGCCTTTCCTTCTTTCTTTTGAAGTATGTAAACAGTTCTATTTGTAGTGACATCACTGCCCCAGTCCGAAAGAAATAATAAGGTAAAACAAAGTAGTCTTCTGTTTATTCTTCCCATCCCAAATATCGCGCTCGCCGCCAAGTATTCGCTCGTTGCCAGCCAAGCGGAAAGTATAGCAAAATTGTCGTCGCGCTCAGTGTGTTAATGGCGCTAGGTTAGGTTAGGTTAGGGACAGCAGACCCCTTACTACTAGAAAGGGGTGGGTTTGCCACGTTGCGTCAAGAATATACAATTATTGTAAGCGTCGCAGGTATGAGCGTGACGCGGTTACAATCAACGCCGTAAGGAACATAGGCTTTTATAGCCAATATTGTTAAAAAATAATTTGAAGGGGTATAAAATCGCTAAAATAATGTAAAAGATTGTAAAAATAATGATATTTTTAATAAAAATGCTGATTACCCCTTTTCACAGGAGGTGACTTTAAATTATATATCTATTAAACATTCCAAAAAACAGCAAATTCCAAAAATACGTATCCTCTATTTTTGTCCATAGTTTACGTACACGAAGTTGCAAAAAAATAGATCAACATTTAGTGCAAAAATTTAAACAAAAATTGTAAATTTTCAAAATATTATTTAAACAAATAAAGTTTATTGAAATTTTTTCGCACAAAAATTCCCTATTTAAAGACGAACAATTTACAAAAAAAAGAATCCAATTATCTTCTTTAATTCCGGAGATATTCCCAAAAATATGATTCCAACCCCCAACTTTGAGGGCTATTTTCAGCCCTTCAATATGCACGATTGCCGATAAAAAAAATACGTGTCAAATATTTTGTTGAGAATTATATCTCACATAAGTTTCATCAAAATCGGCGTGTCGGAGTTGGATATGTTCCCTTGTGAGACAAGTTTAGAAGGATCGTCATTTATTGTGCACAATGGCTGAAGTGTTTTTTGCTCGATGTATTAGTTACTATACCACACGAACGATCGTAAACATAATCTCTCTCTAATAATTACAAAATTGATTGGATTATTAATGAAGTTATTACTAATTCCTTTATTCGCATTTACTTTTTAATGAACCCTAATTGATAACATTCGTCTCTTAGACACACGCATGTATCGAACACAATTATTTAAAAAATTTTTGAACATACTCATTTTTAATAATAATTATTTACTGATAATTTTGATGTACATTTGAATTATTTGTTACTTATTTAATGAAAACATGTCAGACACCTCCTGTATATAGTTACAATACAAAAATATGACGTTAATTAAGCTTGTAGCGTACAGGAAATATTGTAAAGCGCAGCGAATAAATTAATTATGTTCAAAGAGAATCAGACGAGAAAAATCATTAGAATTCCCTTGCAAAATAGAATAAAATAGATCGAAATAATATTTAGCGTCGAGAACATTCGAGAAAAGCGAATATTCCAGAATAATCGAAATTCTGTTGCGATGCGAGAGTTCGTTGGCCGCTCAGCGGAGCGAGAGGCGAGGCGCGACCCGCGAGCCGCGAGCCGCGAGCG